TCACAAATCACAACCATGCGATCTCCTGCCTTGCATCGTGCATCGCGACCTTTAGTAGTGATCCGTGTTGTCGTGTATCTACCAATTGCTGAGCTCCAGCGATCTCGCTTGCTTCCCGTTGCTCTCCAGCGAACCACATTCCAGTTCGTTTGACTGTCCAACGAAGCGTGCCAAATTTTATTATTTTGAGAAATATTTTGCTAAGTATTGTATGAAATTTTTACAATCTTATAGGACGTTTGCTTTCTGGATTTGAAAAATGAAGGTTTCGTAAAACTTTGGCTTTGAAAAACCATTAGTATATGAAGGTTTTGGTTCATTATGGACTTGAAAAACATCAATATTTGTTTCATAGATTTCATGATGAATCTTGTGAATTAGATTTGTATGTATGAAGTAAAATTGACATTTATCCCCCTCATTGGCATAGTTATTAAAATACGGTACGAGAAAGTTACGTATCAGATGCGTACGGGTATTATACTTCGCCTCTTAGCTAATGTTACATTTAATAGTACGCTAATAGTCATAAATATATATAATTAATTATTTTTATAAATAAATAAATATGTAAGAAATAGTAAAGTTAATAATTTATTTCATTAAATACGGATATTAAACGTGTTATTCGAGTTTTATACGTGTTTAGTACGTGAGCCGTCAAATGAACGAAAACTAATGAAACGGTTTGACATTAATACGAATATGCAAGTTTTAAACGGATAAAGTATGTACGGGTACATATACGTGTATTAAAAGAAGTATTTACTAACTACTCATTGGTATAAAAAGAAGGAAATAAGAGGAGTAGATTGATCATAAATTATAGACTTCAAAATCCATGATCAACTCCCACCTAACGAAATGACATTTTCAAGTATGTGGAATCTACGAATTTGGACCTTAAGGGGTCGTTTGCTTGAGTCATTTGTAAGAGTCATTTGATGTCAAATGACTTGTTTGCTAAAAAAAAAACGCATGAGTCATTTCGTCTATACGAAATTCTTAAATGACTCTATTGAGTCATTTTCAAATGCCTCCTATCCATGAGTTATTTCGTCCATACGAAATTATCAAATGACTTATAGAGGTGTTATCTTTTATAAAGAAAGTTAACATGTAATAATTATTCATAATTAGAAAGCAGCCTTATACATGGCAAACACTCAAATAATATATTTTGTTAGTTGCAAAATGATTTTGTTTATGTGGTTTGTTTCATTAGAGTAGAAAAAAAAAACATATTACATGTAAGGACAAAATGATAACATTATACAAATAACTAATCTAAAATTTTTTAAACAAACAATGCATTTTTAATGCCTACATTTTTAAATGTTTACATTTCTCAAATGCCTATATTTAAACAAATGACTCATTTTGTAGATGAGTCATGCAAACGGTAAAAAAAAAAATCTTTCAGACAATATGAATAGACAAAATCAATAGATTCACATTCATCATCAAATTCACCAAATCGAGGGGTCGCGTACCCGCTAGAGCTGTCAAAATGTAACCCGACCCGAGTAACCCGCCCGATCAACCCGACCCGCAACCCGCCCGCAACCCGATTTGACTAAAAGTCAATGACCCGTAACCCTCCCGACCCGCAACCCGATTGACCCGCAACCCGATCAACCCGCAACCCGAACAACCCACAACCCGATCGACCCGCAACCCGATCGACCCACAACCCGATTAGCCCGCAACCCGATTAACCCGTAACCCGACCAACCCGAACCTGTAACCCGACCAACCCGCAACTCGACTATAATAGAAGGAATTCGATGAAGATAAACCATAAGTTGACATTTGAAATTCTAGTTCACTAAAGTCTGATCATTACATCATCAATTATTGACTTAGTATAATAATATACATCATCAATCTATAATGAGTGCAATGGGTTAGGATATAAGGTATTAATGTTTTAGGCACGATTAGTCAAAAACTCAAAATAATAACTTATAACTAATAAGAATCAAGTTTTTTATTACACGTGTTGATGAATCAAATCATTAGAGGTTTATGGTATATAGACTATAGAGTCAATGTATAGGGTATATGGTTAGTCTAATGAGTTAGGGTATAAGGAATTCGATGAAGATAAACCATAAGTTTCTTACTCTATGTCATCAAACAAAAAGACTAACACAATAGCACTTTATATATAACACCCTTGATCAAATTAACGCACATAATGACACACATATCAAGCTTTAACGCGAATTGGGAAAACCCCAAATTGACCACCATCACCAACGGGGCCTCTTGCACTTCAATAGACGACTGCGGATCTTTGCTGCCTATGTGAGCCACCATGACCTTGGCCTCCATGTCTACCAAGTCTGGTAGCAAATGCGACCCAGCCCCACAATGTAAACATCATCACTGATACAGCAAGGCACGCAAAAGAATTCCTAGTCAAGAAAAGAAACAGGGGAGCAGCCTTTGTAAATACAGGGCATGCTACTTTCTTGTAAAGTTGAGAGATTCCATACCTGATATCTTCTCTGGCAGTAAGCATTGTTCAATTCATTACCTTCTGGTAATTACTTTAGTTGCTCGACGACTTTGGCCCTTCCTCTTTCCTAATATTTGTTCTCGTGAAATTGAGAATCAATTAGTGCATATAGGAGGTTAGTTGATGATAGTGAAAATCAATCTATATTTACTTCTGATTGATACAATCAACAATTTCCTGAAACAAAGAAGGGTAATTAGGGTTAGTTGATGACAGTGAAAAAAGAAACCACACAGTAATCTTCCAGAAAATTCAGGGGCAACTTGAAAATCGCACCTTGTTGTATCATGCAACCATACTGATCCGCCCAGTGTCACAAAACATCTCCACTGCCTGACCTAGGCGAAATTGCCCTCTGCATACAGTGTGTAAGCTTATTATATTGCTAAGAGAAATTAGGTGAAGCTGTTAGCTGAAGCTCCTGCTATAGAATTAGACAGAAATTGAGAAATTATGAATTCCTAAAATCAAACCAACCAACAGTTGTGCATGTCCTAACCACCATTATTTTCATCAGAAGTACTAGTCGGGGATGACTCCTTCCTCCTCGAGGTTTAGAGCCGAAAGCCTCTCCACGGCAAGGTGGCCTGGCCTCTCTGTCGGAGATATCCAAAGTCAGCGTGCTTCCTTCCACGATCAATGCCCCTTAGACAAATCAAGAAAAATAGAAAAAGTAGATTAGAACCCTAAGAACCAACAATAAATGAATCAAAATCGAGAATGCATTAGGTTTTATTAAGTTCGTCTTACCTCAGCAAAAGCCACTGGCGTCGTTTCATTCCCATAAATCCCATCGTACAATCGACCCGGAAAAGAGATGTAGGGAGAAATCAGATTGAGTAAAGAAGAGGGAGATTAGGTTACCTTCGGTTTGTATCTTTTATTTAGGCGGAGTTTGACTCTAGGAAAGGAAGAGAGAAGTAGAGAAGAAGGATCCAACTTTTCTTATCTCTGCAAAAGGAAGAGAGAACGAGAGAATGCAAAGAAGGAAGCCTTTCTTCGTATCTGGGAAAGGAAGACAGAACGAGAGTTTAATTTGGTTTAGAATTTTGTGGGTGGGAAATTTTGGGCGGGGGAAAATGTGGGGGGGGGGGGAACTTTTTCATTTTGGTGGGAATTTTTTTAAAGAGAATTGTTTCGTTTTTTATTTTGGGAGCCAAAATTTCTTTCTTTACACCGTGCAGTTTTTGTTTCACTCTTTCTGAAATCTTTGGGGCCAAACAAAATTTTTGGAGGCAATGAAAGTTTGGAGGGAAAAAACTTAAATCTCCCTCTTACAATTTGGAGCACAATTTTTTACGAAAGAAATTACCACAATTGTTCACCGAAATTATCGGTGATTAATCATTAATCACTTAAATCTCCTTCTTAACATATGTTCACTTGAAATCATTTGAAGTCTTTAACGGCAGGAGATCCCTTTTTAATTTATGTTTATGGTACGTGGTTAGGATACAAGGTATGTAGTGTAAAGTATAGGATATATGGTTAGGGTATAACAATTAGCAAATATCACTTTTTATCTATGTTTTGAAAATCAAAGCATGAATTTCACTTTTAAATTAACTATACTAGCAAAATCACAACTCAAAGACATATAGTTAGGGTATAGGGTATACTGTATTGATGGTTTAGGGTATACAATCAACAACATATACTAACTTAATATTGTTGATTGAGGGTAAGGCTAAGTGTATAGAATATATGCTATTGAGTAAGTTATGATTGAAGTCACAATAATTTTACTAAATTTGATATCTAATCTTTAATGGTTCAATTTTTAGGATAATTCGAACAATTTTACAAATAACTCGTTTGGCAACAGTTTACTGAAGTTATTTGGGCAATGAGTTATTTCGAAATAACTTCTTTTATCACTATGCTTTTGCCAAATACCAGATTTGCATGGTTATACTAAACGAGATACTTTAATCCAATTACTACTGAATTAATACTAAACTATCAAATAAACAATTAATGGTGTCTTTTGGTTGCAAATATTGATATCACCATTACTATTAGCTATAATACTTTACCAATTATGATTAATTACATAACAAGTTTGCAACTCATACAAATTGATTTAACATTTTGACTAGTTTTTTTAAAAAAAATAAAGTATATATATACGAGGTAGAAATAAATTGGTTAAAAAGTTGAGAAAATATTTTAAATTAGTGTAATAAAATCTGTAAGTTGGTAATGAGTAATGAGTTAAGTTACTTGATGCGCTGACCCGAACAACCCGAAACCCGATCCGCCCGCAACCCGCCCGACCCAAAACCCGATGAACCCGCAACCCGATTTGCCCGCAACCCGATTGAACCCGAACCCGATGAACCCGCAATCCGACTAACCCGCAACCCGTTTGAACCCGAACCCGATGAACCCGCAACCCGACTAACCCGCAACCCGTTTGAACCCGAACCCGATTGAACCCAGCCCGAACCCGCCCGAACCCGCCCGATTGACACCTGTACCCGTCGCAAAGACAGCTTATGTGGCTTCGTAATTTAAGAACGAAAGAGCATATGTGGCGGACTCGAGAATCCGAAACTCTCATTGCACAGAGCTACAACCGTCGAAACTAGTCAACCACCTAACACAACTACACAAGTCTCCCCGTTTCGCCGGTGGGCTGCCGCTGACGGTAGCCGTCCAACCTCCACTGCAACCGTTGGCTGTCTCCCCAGCAAGCATTACACGGGCTACCGGTGGCGATCCGGGATATTGTTCTACGCCCCTGACTTCCTCCGTCGGCTAAAACTTTGAATCCTTCTCCGTTTCTGGGGACTCAGAGAAGGTAATGAAACTTCTAATCTAGGATTTATATGATAATGAACCGAGATCAGTCCTTGTTTCATTTTATGGCGATTGAGGATTTCTTAACCACTGTCTTCTCGGTTTTGCTAAAGCAGGGAAGTACACAAGGATGATCAAACTTTTGGACTGATCTTTGTTAGGCTCTTAAGATCTCTTCATCTTTGTTTCAGCACCATTCGAGATTCTCTACCTTAATTCGCTGGTCAATGAGATCTGTTCTTCCTGTGAGGTTGGTAATTTTCCTCTGTTCTTTGATTTCCGTTTGCTTGTTTTGGTTGATGACGATTGCTTCATCTGAGATGCACGTTTTTTGTTCATTGGATGATGAAACACGGGTTGAGGATAACGTTGCATTTCTGACTGTACAGGGACTATTGAGGATTGAATTGTGAAATTGTGCCTTCTTCTGGGTGCTTGTTGGGGTTGCTTCAAGTTTTTATTTAAGAACTATCCATCCAGAAACTGTATCTCAACTCAAATATAACTTGTTGGTTCCTATAATATAGGAGGTTCCATCATCATTTAGACATTTCACGGTGCTCTACTTTGGTGGTCATAATTTGAGCCGTTACAGTGTTGACCTTAGAGTCTTTGCATTGTAGGCTCTTTTACAAATTCTTAGGGCTGCATACCAAAATCTTGGCCGAAACAGATGGAGCTTGCCAGAGAAGAGCCCATTGCCAATGGGGATGTAGGGGAAATCGATAGAGAACCCACTGGTGAGAGTCTTCCTCATGAAAATCCTGCTGCTCTAGCTCGTCTCCCTCGCATGGTGAGGCAAAAAGCTTATATATTTGATGGTCATGGGAATTACTATAATAAAGAGTGGGTTATAACCGAAGGTACAGGTCAGGAGTTCTGTTGGTACCATGTTGAACTCCCCAGAAGTAACCAGAAACTAACTTCATCAGCACAATGGCTCATTGATCTTCTATGCCCTCCACTGAAACTCCAAGATATTTTATCACTAGTTAGCAACGGACCCTTCTGTGGATTTGTTGATGGGGCACTTGTGTTCAGAGTTAATTCTCCAGGCACCCCTTCAAGCAACTTTACATTCCGATTGGCAGCTAGAGTTACTGAAAATTCGGTAATTACTGTGTCATTAGGCCATATTCCTAGGGTAGGATTCTCACCAACGAGTCAATCTCTTCTTTCAGAGATTCCCAGTGTGGAGTCTCCTTATCGTAGAGGAACAAATAAGGAAGCAGCTGGAACTTTGATCAAGGAACATGTTCTTGAGTTCCTTTTAACTATGAACCATTCTGAGGAGGCTGATAATCCTGTTCCAAAAACAGTCTCAAACCTGGTTGTTCATATTCTTGACACCCACGTCGATCACCTTCAAGATACTGTAACTAAACTAGAGATGGAGTTGGAAGCTGTGGAGCTTGACATGGATAAAGGTAACTAAACATGACATGGAACTATGTTAAAGTGAAAGGTGATTTGAATGAATAGGATCCACAGGCTTTATATTGCCTTTGATTTTTTTTTTTCTTTCAAAGTCATAGTGTTTATGATGGCTTGCTCCTTGTGCTCCTTTCTTGTTGCCACTGCGTGTGCCCCTTATTTCTGTAGAGCAACAAGTTATGTTTTAGTATAAGTTCTAGTTTTTCTCCTTCGCTTATGCCTATCTGGATATAAAGCATCTGAAGTTTATTAGATTTTTTTTATACCAGTTGCATCTTCATTTTGTGTTTGTAGAAGTAGCAAATATTATGGAAGTGACCTGCCATCTCTGAGGCCAGCTGGTCGCATATGACATGTGCTACTGTTCAATCGTTGTAGGGAAGAGAAAGCAAAGCATAACCAAAGCAAATATTATGGAAGTGTCTTTTCCAAAATGAGTGGAAGAATTGCTGGTTTTAGAATGTCACTATTTTCAACTTGTTTATCTCATCAGTTTGCTCCCAAGTTCTGTGGCCATAGTGTATTTTAACTGGGCAAGTTAGATTCCGAATTTTCTTGTAACGGCACTGAGGTTTTTTTTTTTTGTGGTATTTTTCAGGTAGTTTTGCTTTGAAGAAACAAATGCTAGATGATAGAAGGTTCCCAAAAATGCACCTTAATCTCCAACGTTTGCTTCAGGTATTTCATCTGCTTGTTAACAGCTCAATGTGTTTAAAAATGGTTGAAGTAAACAAATTTGTTTGATGGCTGGATAAAACAGTTGGGGGGGGGGGGGGGGGGGGGGGAATTGGATAAAAAAATCAGTTCTTCCGATCCGTAATTCTATTTTGCTCACCGTTGATTTAGGGCAATGAACGGTGCCTTTGGCTTGGTTTATGAAGGCTTTCAGGTAGAAACATTTGTGTTGGTAAAGCGTAAAGGACATATATCACATATAAAAGAACTAAGGCACTCCTTAACGTATATGGCTTCTGTTGTGCAAATCAACATAAGTACATCAGATGCTTCAGTTATTTGATTTATCATCCTTTTACTACTTTCTAGAAAATATGGCGGAATGAAGTTAAGTGCTCAATTTGTATGATTTGGTTGATTACAGGTGATTGCGCATGGGGAGCAAGTACTTCCTCGTGTGAAGGAAAAGTGTTCAACAAAAGGGTGGTTTGCCAGCCAAGACATTAATGCCTCGGAAGAGTTGATTGGAAGATTGAGGAGGCTAAAAGAGAATGTGGGGTTCATAGCGAATCGTGTAACGGCGATTCAGGCAGGTCTTGACAGTTGGCAAGCTGAGCAAATCAATCGGAAGCTGTACTATCTCTCGTTCCTTTCCATTGTATTTCTTCCGCTGTCAATCATCACTGGAGGTAAGATTGATAACCTCCTAAACATCTCAATCATTGGGTCTTCAAGGATACTGTTACACAGGCTTATGACTTCTCATTTCATCATTTTATACAGTATTTGGGATGAATGTTGGAGGAGTACCATGGACAGGCCAAGATGACCCGGAATTAAAAGATGGTTTTCAGAATGTGATACTTCTGTGTCTGGGAATGCTATTGCTTGTGCTACTGTGCTTTCTCTTCCCGTCCGCTTGGGCATCTTTTGCTTCGTGGAGGCAGAGAATAGCCATGAAAAGAAGCTGGTCGATCAACAGGAAATCATTTCTCAAGAGAACTATCGGGTTACAAGAAAGAAAAGGCTACTTGCGCATTTGATTCAGGAAAGTGATCATACATACATATTGCTAACTCGACTTTTTTATTAATGTCCCTGAGTATTCATCAAGAGTTTAGCAAAGAAGCAATGTACGTAAGAATATAGCAAATTAGCGTAGATGCTGCCTGCATTGGGCCATTCCGACTGTTTTCTGATGACTTTGGGTTCATTGTTGTAAGTTGGTTGTCCCTGGCGTCCCTTTTCGCTGGCATTACTTGAGTCTTGAGAGCGCTGTATAGATGATTATATTTGATGCGAATGTATTTCTTTTCTTTGGGTGGCAGATGTTGCTTGTACTTTTTCAGTTTTTGCAGCCGACTTCAACTGATGATTTCTTCACCGAAATCAAAATGCGAGCTAAAAGTGGATTCGTTCTACTTTTCTATGTTGGCATTTGTGGCAAATAGTGTTGAAATTTAATGTTTCAAACAAGATCAGTTGAAACTTCGGGCTTTTGTTTCTTGGAAATCTTAAATTCTGGGCTGGTTTGTATGAGGGTTTTTGTTTTGAGTGATTTATGTGCTTGTTTTCATTCCTTGCTTGTTTAACAACATAGGTTTTTGTTTTGAGTGATTTATGTGCTTGTGTTCATTCCTTGCTTGTTTAACACCTAGAAAACAACAAAAACCATAACAATATATGGCCGTCGTCGGTTGAGGATCAACCACCTTCTCGTCCTCGTCGTCATTAGTAGCAAGTTTGACCGATTCCTCGAGGGTAACAGGAAACTAGAAACCCAAAATACCCAGATCCGAGCTAACGCAAATCACTACAGTCTCCACCACTCTGCCTCGGTCAACACCAACAATCCACTTATCAGAGAGCCCTTGGAAGGGCATTCACATCAATTCGAGATGGTTACAACTCGTTTGGAAGGTCTTGCGGAGGCGCGTTTCGTCCAACTGAAAGGTTGACTTGATGAATTGTTCCGTGGTCTGGATCTAGGTCAAATTCGTCTGGAGGTAATTGTTGCCAGTGCAGAGGAGCAGCTGGGAGACCGGAACAATCTTCCTAAGCCTCGAGGTAACAATCCCTATCAGCTGTCGTGCCTTGATTTTCCCTCTTTAATGGAGATAATCCTAGGGGATGGACTGGAAAATGTGAGAAGCTATTTGAGATCTATGATATTCCAGATGACCATAACGTTTGAGCAGCTGCAATTTACTTGGATAGATGGACTGATATCTGGTTTGGGGGTTGGAAATTCAGGTGTAGGGAGTTAATTTGGGAAGAATTTGTGTCCACCTTAGGTAGAAGGTTTAGTGAATGGTCGTATGGTGGAGTGGTAGGAGAGTTTAACTCAGGAAGAGGGACACTCTAGCTGAATATCAAGAGAAATTCGAGGAGCTCCAATGATAGATGGTGCATTACAATCCTACATTAGAGGAAAAATACTTCATCTTCAATTTCATTAGTGGTTTGGAAGAAGAGCTCAGGCTAGTTGTGACTATGATGCAGCCTGACTCATTCGATCATGCATTTCAATTAGCCAGATTGGAGGATAAATCAAATGAAGCTCGGAGAAGGAAGTGGAGGACTACTCCAAGCATTCGACCTAGTCTGGTATCAAACCATAGTCCTGCTTTAGCACCTAAGAAGTGGGAGCCTTCCAATTCCAGGCCACCGGCAAGCAATACTGTTTCTTCATTAGCTTCTAGTGGCAATTTTCCAAAATGTGCATGTTACCTATGGAGTGTTGGAGTGATGATGAATTTGATATGGTGCAGGAAGAAACTGTTGAAGAACAAATAGTAGATGTTACCCCAGTGGAGGTTTCTATGCAGACTTTCTATTGTGGAGGAGCTGCTAACTCCTTGGTTGTCAAAGACAAGGTGCACAAAGCCATATTGTACATCCTAGTGGATACAGGTAGCACACATACTTTCTTGAATTAGGATAAGGCTAAGTAGCTTCCCTATTAGTTTTCTCCATCCATTTCTTGGATTTTTCCAAAAAAACCACTATTTAAGAAAAAATTCCAAAAATACCACCCAATCCACACAAATTCCAAAAATACCACAATACTTTAAAAACCACACCGTCAGCGTGTGGTTTACAGAGGAACGCCTGGGGAAGGGACGGTTTCTGCTAGGGCAGCCACGAAACCGCATAGGGAAGCAGCGATCTTCATAATCGTCGGATTAGGGAGCGATCCATTGGCGGACCGCGCTCCATGTCACCGATCCGCGTCAGGGATCAAAAACCGCAGGTCAAGGGGGCAGTTTCTCACCAGGGAATATGCAAACTGTTGGCTTGGAGAGCGGTATTCGTATTTGGAAAATTACAAAACCACCCCCTCTAGGGGCGGTCCGAATCCTATATAAACCCCCTCCCCCTCTACATTTTTCACACTATAACCCATTCTTCTCTCACTCTCTAAGATTATCTCTCTATCCATCCCCTCTCCCCAAAAAAATCTAGGAAATAGTGGTATTTTGGTTGCGGCTTAATCTGAACTGCCATCAAAAAATATTTATTTGGTTTTTTCTTCAAAACCCGTCGAATCTCTGTCCGATTTATTGAAAAAATGGATGATTGGTGCCAATACGAGGGTATTTATTATGATGACTACCAAACGATACGTACTCATTTGACCAAATTTTTTTTGTTATAATTTTTTAAATTAATCTATATACTAATTAATTTATGTTATTGTTATTCTATTGTAGGTTAGGGAGGACGTGAATATATATAATCAGAGGTTGATCAAGGACCGAGTGATCCAAGCGTGTTGTACGACCAACCTAACCATCGTTCTAGGGATGTTTGGAACGATCACGAGGTAACATACAATTCTTCATCATTTGTCATTTTTTAATTTTGTTAACGTACTTAGTGGTTTATGAAATAAATTTGATAATTTTTAATCGTATTGATTATTTTCAATGGTTTGTGCTAATACAATGTGCCACTTACTTAGACTCTTTATAACGAGATGCATGCCTAAAGGAATGGGGTCTTAAGCGATAATCATGATCCTCCCATGACTCGCACAAAACTACACCACAAATAAACCCCAATTAGAGCCCAGGTTTTTAAACTCTAATCGGGTGCAGTATAGGGCAAGCATCTATATATCGACCCGGGCTGGTCCGTCTACCCCTACTTCGATTGTTGAAATTGTTATCTAGCGATAAAACATTGGTTTAAAGGTTTGCTAATTGAAACAAAAGAAAGCAAAAGTAATTTGGTTTGAAAACTCTTTTGTGGGAAGGTCACTCAGGTTTCGCTTCCCCCTGACCGCTACCATGTTATGTGGGTTGGAACGATTACCTTGGGCACGTTAATTGTGAATCGCAAAGGAAAACGTATGTGGTCAGAGACCACAGTCTCGATTGCTAAACCGAGGTGAGGATGCAAGGTCATGTCACTCGACCCTCTCGGTTTAGACAATCGGTAATCGACTTACTTCCTCTCTCAACTCTAAGGTCAGACGGTTTAACCACGATTAATCGACTTGTTCAATTCAATATTGTGGATTGCTCTAACTCAACCTAGTTTAGGTGGCTTGGAAAGTGGAAGGAAAACCAACTAGATTAAGTCTCCCTAGACCGTGAAAATTCCCAATTTAGTGTTAACCTGTTCGCACATGTATTAACACCCTTTCGACTTAAGAATCAAGTGAAACCGTGGCTTACAAAAATATTAAACCAAAGCAATAACCAGATTTATGAATTTTCGTATTAGGTTTTTAAGCGAATCCAGAGGAACTACATGACCCCATCGCCGGTGGCTCCGATCAATTTCTTCTTTTCTCGAGGGATCTAACATGCAAAATTACCTTGCAGTCTCATTTACATGTATCAGACAAAATATACAATAGCCGCGTACTATTGATACTTGCACATGATAAGTCGAGAAAAGATCGTAAGAACGAGAACAACACGTCTATATCAAAGATACCACTCAATCAATGTAAAACATATTAGGGTTCATCAAATCCGGAACAACTAGAAGATTAGCCGGACATGATGAGATTTAGAAAGATGAAGGTTGAGAACATTACCATGATGATGACGACGACGAAGACGGAGGGGTTGAGAATACTGTATGTATGTTGAGTTAATAGATTACACCTAGCAAACTTCCTCTCTCTCTATGGAGTAGAACATTCTCTCACTTGGGTATGAAGAACCCTAGTTCCATGTGTTAGAGATCTTGATTGTAATGACTTGGGATTGTTATACTGTTTGGTTTTAATCGAATTATGCATGATTCATTGAATCAATTGAAGTCTGATCATCTTTTCTTGATTTCTACTGCAACCTGAGATAGATAGAATCTGATTAGGTTGTTAGAGCTTCATCATTCGGTAGTGGTAGATTGGTTATACGAGAGTTAATCAATCTACTTCTTTGTACTGGAACCCAATTCCAGTAGTGGAGTTCTGTGTTTATTGCCTCAGCAGTCTATCCCAGTGAAGGTTAGTCGCCTGCCGGTTAGCCTGCCTGAGAGGGCTTGGTCAGCTTAAGAGATTCCAAGCTACTGTCGGATCTTCCGCAGTTTAATAAACAGTAAATCAACCCAGGGTAATTACAAATGAGACCTAACTAAGGAGCTAGGGGGACTCATTCCCGAGTGACTCTTCCTTTGCTTTAGAAAACCGAATCATTTCCTTCTTTCTGACTGCTTTTACTTAAATCAACAATCACTTAACTTAGTTGGCCAGATAATAGATATTCACGGAGTAGGTAGTAGATCTAGACCGCGGGTTGACATTAGAGCTTGCTTGTTACTGCATTTCCGGACTGCGATTACACTTGGTCGCAGTTTGGTGTTGTGTTTTAGCGTGTCAAATTTTTTGCGTCGTTGCCGGGGACCCTTTAGGTTATTGGGGAAACGTGAAAGTTTTTTACTCTAACTTTTTCTTTACTGCATTTTCTCTCTTCCACCTATGTGCCTTCACGGGTTGCTTTTGCTGATTGTGTGCAGGTTGTGCATGATCCGTAGCTAGTCGGGAGATTTACTACCATTAGACCAGGAGCTTGAACGGACCTGTAGGAACTTCAAGCGGGCTCTAAAAGCGCGACTGGCTGCGGAGGACGCGCTAGCACAGCTGCAAATCGCCGACAAAGAAGAGATGGGTGACCCACATAACAATGATGTGGTCATTCCTGAGGAGCAGACCATGGGATACTACTGGACCGCCAGAGCCGCGTACATGAGGTCGCCCATTCAGCACCCTCATGTGCCAGCGAATAACTTTGAGGTGAGCACCTCTGTCATCACCATGCTGCGCGGTTCGGTGGTGTTCCGTGGCAAGGAGGGAGAGTGCCCCCGATCACATCTGAGGCGATTCCACGAGCTCATTGTTGGAATCAAGATAAATGGGGTCCCAGCCGATGCCATCCAGCTGATGTACTTCCCATTTACTCTAGAGGGGCAGGCCAAGGAGTGGCGAACGATCACCACGTTCGCCAACCCGGCGGACAAGTTCCTCACTCGCTACCATCCCTCGTCCAAGACGGCGGACCTGCAGAAGCAAATTACCCACTTTGCTCAGGATGAAGATGAGACCATCTGGGATGCTTGGGAGAGATACACCAGTCTCTTCCTCAAGTGTCCCAACCATGGTTTTACCGACGCCTTCAAGGTGGGCACCTTCTACCATGCCCTCATCCCGGAAGACAAGCAGCTGATTGACTCGGCCTGTGGTGGGAATATGCTCACCAAGACACCGCCAAAGCTGAATCAACTCTTTGAGGAGATGGCAGAGCAGGCCTATGATTGGGGGACTGCGAGGAGATCGAGACGAGCACCAGGGCGGGTGTGCATGCTGTAGGCACCCAGTCATCTGATTTGGTGCAGGTGGTATCAAAGCTGGTTTTAGCCATTGATCGATCTGGGATGATTGCAGGTACATGACAGCAGCAAGCGATGCACTGCAGTGGTGTGAGAGCTCCCATCACACCGTGGAGGACTGTCCGGCGATTAGGGAGTCGTCTACTCCCCATGAGCAGGTTGACTTCATCGGCAATGCCAGGCGCTTCGACCCCTACAACAACACTTACAACTAGGGGTGGCGCCATCATCCCAACTTCTCCTGGGCTGGGGCCAATTCTAGACCACCAGTCCCTCAGGGACCACCAGGCTTCCAGAGGCCTCCTTACCAGCCCAGACAAGGGCAATTTCAGCAGCCGCAACAACCTCTCTACCCGCCCAGACAGGGGCCAGTTCCACCTCAGTCACAGGTGCGGCCATTTCCTCAGACTGGGGCAGCACCTGCAGCCCCAGTGCAAAGTGACCCATTGGCGGAATTGCGAGATTTGGTGGGTTCTCTGGCCACCTCCAGTGCAAACAAGTTCAATAACATTGAGCAGTTCATGGAGAAAGCTTCAGGTAAGTTCTTGGAGCTAGAAGCTGGTTAGAGAAACACACAGGCTGTGCTGCGGGATATCCAGACCCAGCTTGGGAGTGTTGCCCAGGCTGTAGCTCAGAGGACTCCTGGTACTCTACCCGGTCAGACCATCCCTCATCAGGAGGACCCAAATGAGCACTGCAAGGCCATTACTACAAGGAGTGGCAAGATGACTGCAGATCCACCTGTGCGGGCACAGGAGAGAGAGACCCTGCTTCAGCACTTCCAGCCAATGAGGAGGAAATGGAGAAGGAGGTTGAGGTGCCTGCTCCTAAACCGCAACCAGTGGTGAAGGAGTATGTACCGCAGCTTCCCTTTCCTACTCGATTGCACAAGGACCGACAGGAGACTGAGCATGCCCTTCATGGAGGCATTATCGAAGATGCCCAAGTATGCCAAGTTCATGAAGGATCTCCTCACCAACAAGAGGAAGCTTGGGGAGCTGTCCACGGTGATGCTCAACGAGGAGCGTTCTGCCATCATGCAGAACAAACTACCAGAGAAGCGAAAAGACCCAGGGAGTTTCACTATCCCTTGCATGATTGGTAGTTTGCATATAAGGAAGTCCTTGGCGATTTAGGCGCTAGCATAAATGTCATGCCATATAAACTGTTTAAAAAGCTAGGCCTAGGTGAACCCAGTGATACTAGGATGAGCATTCAACTTGCTGATAGATCCATTGTGCATCCTAGGGGCATTGCAGAGGACTTGATAGTCGCAGTAGGGCCATTCTCATATCCTGTTGATTTTGTGATTTTGGACATAAATGAGGATGTGGATGTGCCATTAATATTGGGTAGATCTTTTCTCGCCACCGCCAAGGCGCTCATTGATGTGAATGATGGGAAATTGATTTTGCGAGCTGGGGGTGAACAAATCACCTTCTCTGTTTCTGATAATATGAAACACCACCAGCTCCATGATCATCTAGACTACTGTGATGTTGTTGCTGATTTTGAGACCGCACTCGCCATCACGAGTGCGGGTACTGACGATTTCCTCTAGCGTTGTCTTTTGCTAGTGGAACAGGCATCACAGGATGTGCAGCTGGAGGAGCAGCTCGCGGAGCTAGACGAGGTCGCGATCGAGGGGCGAGAGATACCATTCAAGCCGATCCCTATCTCGCTCAGGATCGCTACATCATTGGAGGAGCCGCCAGAGCTGGAGCTTAAGCCCCTCCCCTCTCACCTGGAGTATGCATTTCTCCGGGAGGGGAATAAGCTCCTGGTCATTATCAGCTCGGATCTGACACCCGAGCATTAGAGCAGGCTGGTGGCTCTGCTGCAGAAGTATGCCCGGGCCATGGCATGGAAGATCACAGATATCAGAGGCATTAGCCCATCCTTCTGCTCTCACAGAATTCTGATGGAGGATGAGGTTAA